GCCAGGGTGAGGGATATTAGTAAGAGACTTCCTGAGTTAATTCAGCCCTCAGACTATTATCCACTGGTGGTAGTCCAGGCTGGCAGTGAGGACATTAATCAAAGAAGTGCCAGGACAATTAAAAAAGACTTTAAAGCACTGGGTCGGTCAGTTCAAGGGACAGGAGCACAGGTGATATTTGCCTCAGTTTCTCTACTATCTGGGATGGATGAGGAGTTAAATAAAGAGAGGAGTAAAAAAGCCCAACTCCTCAACAGATGGCTAAAGGATTGGTGCCACCGTCAAAATTTTGGGTTCTTTGACCATGGGGCAAACTCCATGGTACCCAGTCTCTTAAAATCAGATGGGATTCATCTGTCTAGGAAGAAAAAGAGGACTGTAGCCCATAAGTTAGCAAGGCTGATCAGGAGGGCTTTAAACTAGGTTTGAAGGGGGAAGGGGTTGAAACCGGGCTCTCCAGTGATCAACCTAGGGATGGAAAGCCTGAGTTAAGAATTAAATCAACAGCCCACCTGAAGTGCATGTACACTAATGCACGCAGTATGGGCAACAAACAAGAGGAGCTGGAAGCCATTGTGCGGCACGAAGGCCATGATGTAGTCGCCATCACAGAAACGTGGTGGGATGACTCGCATGACTGGAGTGCTGCTATGGAAGGCTACAAGTTCTTCAGAAAGAACAGGCAGGGTAGGAGAGGTGGAGGGGTGGCTTTATATGTTAGAGAGTCTCTTGACTTTGTTGAACTTCAGGTCAGCAACAGGTTGAGTGCCTGTGGGTCAGAATCAGGGGGAAGACCAACAAGGCTGACATCATCATAGGTGTCTGTTACAGACCGCCCTACCAGGATGATGAAGGGGATGAATTATTCTACAAGCAGCTGGCAGATGTCTCAAAATTGTCAGCCCTTGTCCTTGTGGGTGACTTTAACCTGCCGGATATCTGCTGGGAGCTCAATACTGCAGAGAAGAGGCAGTCTAAGAGGTTCCTGGAGTGTATAGAGGACAATTTCCTTCATCAACTGGTAAATGAACCTACCAGGGGTAAGGCCCCACTAGACCTGCTGTTTACAAACAGGGAGGGGCTGGTGGGAGACGTAGTGGTTGAAGGCCGCCTGGGAAATAGTGACCATGAAATAATAGAATTTTCAATACTTGGAGATTCCAGGCGAGCCAACAATAAAACCTCTACGCTGGACTTCTGGAGGGGCAGATTTTGACCTATTCAGAAGTCTAGTCCAGAGCATACCCTGGGAAACAACCCTTAAAAACAAGGGGGTTCAGGAGGGATGGATGTGCTTCAAGCAGGAAGTTTTGAGAGCACAGGAAGAGGCTGTACCGGTGTGCCGAAAGGCAAGCCGGCGGGGAAGACAACCAGCTTGGTTAAACAGGGGGATTCTGAAGGAAATCAGGGATAAAAAGAGAGTTTACCA